CATCCCCAAGCCCGACAAAGAAATATAAAATATAAGTGTATGTACAACTATATATAAGTACCCAACTTCCAAATCAAAGTGGAAACACAAAGATCCCCACAAAATCCGTTAATGTCCTGTGACTCACACCCAACACAAATAGGTCACTATATAACAAGCTATTTATAACTATGCCGAACAAGGTCATTGACATGCACTTCCACCAAAGAGAAGAAGAAGAAGATACTGGAGAGAGCAGATCATCATCCTCAAGAACACCGAGAGCGCATTTCGTGGTTTACGTCGGTACGAATAAGAAGTTGGAAAGATTCGTGATCCCCACAAGGTTTTTGAAGAGCCCTTCTTTCCAAAAGCTTCTAGACAATGCGGCGGAGGAATTCGGGTACGCGGAGGCTTACCGGAACAAGATTGTCTTGCCCTGTGATGTCTCTAGTTTCCGAAGTCTTGTCATGTTCCTGACTTCTCACGACAAGTCACATTAACTACATGAGCTCGTCGTCTGAATGATAAAATGGTTATATGTATCTCATATGTATGTGTTAATGTATCTTATAATGTATTATATTTTCTAACTGAATTCATCTATGCGTGTAAGATCTTCATTTACCATTTGTTGAATATTCAATGTGCTTTTGATTGGTAACTTAGGACTACGTAAAACGTGGTTGGGTATTTTATATCAAGCATAAAACCAGAAACTAAAATCAAATAAGAGACAAACTCTGAATATAAAATTTTGAATGTAGTGACACATGTTTTATCAACAATTTAAAAAGAAAAATAAGACAAGGAAAGGGTTTTTGTTTTCCTATTTACTTTAGAGTTTTTGATATTTATGACAACGAAGTGCAATACGTGTTGATCCAACGGCGAATGCCGAAACACATAGGCAACTGCGTAGTTCAAAAATCACATTCGCTCTTCTACCTATTACAATTCGAGTAGCCACATTCGTTCACAGGAACAACTAAACAAAAGGTCATCACATTTTGGTTGATGATTTTCATGGGCGTTAATTAATAGTTATTGTTATCGAAATCTGGAGATGGTCCCGGGAAGTAGAAAAAACCGAATTTCGTTAACAAATTTTGTGTCTCTTTTATCTTCTGCAGTTTATCTTGCCTCACTCGCACTTTCAGTTATGACCTAGTAATTATTTTGGCCCGCCACTGATTTGTAACACCACTTCACTGAGTTTAGTTAACTTCTCCTCTTCCATTTAGTTGAGATCAATTTAGCCATAACATTTACTCATATGGATTTTCTTAACTTGGACTAATCGGAAGGCTTTTTATGAGGTAAAAATGTTTAAAGCATGGTTCAATATCATTTTCTTAAATTTCATTTTTCTTTGCTATTCATTTAGTTTAAATAAAATATTCTATGAATTAATCAACAAAATCACGTATTAACAGGTGAGTTTCTAATTTAATGTTCAAGTTAGGAAATTAAAACTAACATGAATAATGTTAAACTAATAGTTTGTTTTTATTTTTATTTAAAAAAAATCATATCACTCATCAGTCACCACCATATTTTTTATTTTCCTAAACCAAATTCTAAACACCTCTATGGCTCTATCAATTAAATTATAGGTACAACATTAACCAATCTGATAACTTAAAAAAATCAAACAAAATTAAAAGACGGTGTAACATTAAAAAAAGTGAGAAATTTATAAAAAATTTATAGGTGATAAAGCCCAAACAGTAAAAACTTACAGCTGACAAATTCTGTAAATTGTTTGTGTAAGGCTGTTTTTACCCCCAACAAAATCAAATTAATCAATAACAAAACTATGTTAAAATGGGCTTAGAGCCCGCAGTGTAAAATAAAAATGTTTTTTACCTTTGACAAAACGACGTCGTTTACTTTATTACACTTTTACCTTAGCCACAAAAACGACATCGTTTTAGCTAATGACTTTTGCGTCCCTCTACCTGAGCAGAACCCGACAACGACACACGACGTCACGACAATTCTGAACTTTGCGCTACAGACACAATTCCGGCGACAATAACGATTCCAACGCCGCCGATAAGGTTTTAATTGTATTCTGATTTCGATTATTTTAGATCCGTTAGCTAAACATTTGAACTCTCTGAGCATTTCATCGCAAATAGCTGATTCATAGTATAAGAGATCGATCTTTATGTGAATCATTGGCATAATGTCAAAATTACATATCAATTCACAAATTCTCAGACTTTCAATTTCTTCTTTACCAATTCTCAGAAATCATTTGTGGCAAATGGAAGAAGTCAAAAAAAGAGTTGCTTTTGTACTGATTGATGGTTTGGGAGATGTATCAATACCAAGATTAGGTTATAAAACTCCATTACAAGCAGCAAACATACCTAATCTTGATGCAATTGCTTCAGCTGGAATCAATGGTTTAATGGATCCAGTTGAAGTTGGATTAGGTTGTGGTAGTGACACTGCTCATCTTTCTTTAATGGGTTATGATCCAAGAGTGTATTACCGAGGTCGCGGTGCGTTTGAATCTATGGGTGCTGGATTAGCTATGTCACCTGGTGACATAGCTTTCAAGGTTTTTGATTTTGCTTTGCTTCACATTTTGTTTTTCTTGTGTACCATTCTTTTGTTGTTTATAGGTTTTGATTATTGTGTCATTATGCAGTCTAATTTTGCAACTTTGGATGAGGATTCTGGAGTTGTTGTTAGTAGGAGAGCTGATCGACATTTCGAAGAAGAAGGACCGATACTTTGTGCTGCTCTTGATGGAATGAAGCTTCCTTCTTTTCCTGAGTATGAAGTTAGAGTCAGGTTGTTAAATATGTTTTCATTTGTCTTTATGATTTTGGGTTTTCGGGTTTTGGCTAAAGGAAGGTTTTTGTCGATAGATATGCAACGGAACATAGATGTGGAGTGGTTGTAAAAGGGCCAAGACTTAGTGGGAATATATCTGGAACAGACCCATTGAAGGATAATCGTTTGCTTCTTGAAGCTAAACCTTTGGATGAATCAGAAGAAGCTAATCACACAGCTAAAGTCGTTAACGAATTATCTAGGGAGATATCGCGTATTCTTGTTTCTCATCCGGTTAATGTAAAGAGAGCTGCACAAGGCAAGAATATTGCCAATCTTGTCCTTTTAAGAGGCTGTGGCATTCGAATCGAGGTCTGTGTTTCAGTCCAAATGCTTTTAATAAGTTTAACTGCTCCATTTACTTATCTGTTACGGTATTTGTATATAAAGGTTCCTCCTTTTCATGAGAAGCACGGTTTGTGGCCGTGTATGGTAGCACCAACGAAGATTATAGCAGGACTTGGTATGTCCCTTGGTATTGACATTCTAGAAGCTCCGGGTGCCACTGGAGATTACCGGACGCTTCTCACATCAAAAGCAATTGCTATAGCCAATGCGCTTTCAGCTCCTTTGAATCGCTGCCCAAATGTCTTTGAACCAGCAGAGGACGGGCATAAACCGGGAAGGTCAGATGGTTACGATTTTGGATTCCTTCACATAAAGGTGAAAACATTCGTCTGTCTTTTAACACAACATAAAAATTTCCATTCTGATTTTTGGATGGTTTTTTTTGTTTTCTTATAATTCTTGCAGGCTATAGATGATGCAGGTCATGACAAGGCAACATTGTTCAAAGTCCGAGGATTGGAAGCTGTGGATAAGGCGATACGTCAGCTCGCTAAGCTTCTATGGCTTGCTGAATCTTCTTCAAATTACCAGTATTTCTTGTGTGTGACTGGTGATCATTCTACTCCAGTTGAGTATGGAGACCACAGCTTCGAGCCTGTCCCATTTACAATGTGCCGGCTAAAGGACTTTGTGAGCGCGGTTGGAGGAGAATCAGTCTTACTAGAGACGTCTTTGGACCCTTTTCCACTTCCAACGAATGTCATTGAAACAGAAGAAGAAGACGGTGGGAAGAGGGAAGCTCCTTCGGCGATTAGTGGAGACTCAGTCTCAGAGTTGAATGAGATTGCAGCTGCAAGAGGATGTCTTGGTCGTTTCCATGGTGGTGAAATGATGGGAGTCATCACCAAGTTTCTTAAGCTAGATTTATGAATTTCGTAATATTTTGCATTTTTCTTTGAGAAATTGGATTTTGGAAGTGTAATAAAAATACCAACAATGTAGTTAGTTGTTGGCAGAGCGAGAGAGACATTGTTCATTGCTAAAAAAAGGATGGCAAAATTTTTATTGCTGGTTCATTGTTATGGTTTAATCACATTGAATTAAGTTTTGTGTATAAACTCAATTTTGATTTGCTTCTCAATTACGTTTTAGGATTAAAAAAAAATGGATTTAGGGTCGGATTGATTAAGATATTGACTTCGAGAATTGTAATTTTTTTTTAATCTAGATGTTCTTAGCGCTGAATTTAATTTGCTAACCTACTACATAATTTTTTTTACTACTAGTTATAAACTCTCTACTGAAACAACATAGAAATGTTAATTACTAGTATTGAAGCTCTCATCATTCTTTTTTTTATCATCCGAAATTAATTAGAGCTATTTTTGGAGAATTTGTTTACATAAGTGATATGAAGCGGTTCGGTACGAACTTTTCGGAAGCTCTCGTCATTTTATATAAATAAAACATTTTTTTTAAATGTGATATATACTTATTATATTGTCTACCTAACAGACTTAACAAGCTAACAGTCTGTGTTTGGTTTCTGAAACTTTCTGTGTCAACATAAAAATAAAAGTGACTGGAAACCGATAAATCGAGTATCCAAACGAAAAGTCCAATAGCCAAATCAGCCAATAAGAATCTGTACTCATCAGTACATTAGCTGTTACTTACACGTAGACCAAAACACAACTTGACTTTTCTCAACCGGTCATTACCGGTAAAGGTAAACTCCGTCTCTTTCCGTCGACACTTTTCCTTACCAGACCCGTTTTGTTTTGTCTTGTTTCGGTCTCTTAACAAGTCCCCCGTTTTGTATTCTTCTTCCTTACTTCTTCATCTATCTATAAAACAACAACTTCACTCATCATGACTCTTTTTTCCCGTTTTCTTACTTTCTTGCCCCTTCTTCTCTCACTCTCCGGCGAAATCGCCGGCGAGTTTTTGACACTTCCGTCGTCTTCTCAGGTTTGGTTCTTTCTTAACTACCTCATTTATGTCAAACCATTATGTATGTTATATCTAGATGTAGATCTAGTTCTCATGGATCTTGAATTCTTGATTAATCAGTCTGTTTAATCCATTGATTAACACTAATTTTGGATTATTGTTTGGAACTATTTTCATTAGATAAGTTTTGGTTTATTATGGTTAATCTGGATAAGTAATTAACTAAAGAAGATAAGAGAAAGAGAAAAAGAATCTGTTAAATGTATTTATCTTAAAATAAAAATTTATTTCCAAAAAAATCAATTGTTGTTATAAATTTAACACAATTTATTTCCAACAAAGAATCTGTTTAATGTTTTTATCTCAATAACTGATCTTTTGTCTGTTTTTTTTGTTGTTGTTGTTTATGACTGAACCTATAGATCTTGTTCTATCCATTAAAACCAAAGAAATGGAAGGTCATAAAGAACCATTGTGGCTAAGAGTTGAAGGATCACATTGTTCCTTATCAGAGATGGACGATTTCGATCTAACTCGGGCTTTGGAGAAGCCGAGGCAGCTAAAGATTGAACGGAAGAGATCATTTGATGAAAGATCAATGAGCGAGTTATCAACTGGCTATGCAAGACAAGACAGCATTTTAGAAATGGCTCATTCTCCTGGTAGTAGGTCAATGGTGGATACTCCTCTCTCTGTTAGGAACTCGTTCGAGCCTCATCCGATGGTTGCTGAGGCTTGGGAAGCTTTGAGAAGGTCAATGGTGTTCTTTCGTGGTCAACCCGTTGGTACCATTGCAGCTTATGACCATGCCTCTGAGGAGGTCTTGAACTACGATCAGGTAACTAAAGATTCTAGACATGACCTGAACATAATCAATAGACGCGATTGTTTCTGCCATAATAGCGAAAAACAGAGACATAATCGCGAAATAATTCTATAATATGAGCAAAATTTCTCTTAGTTAGAAGCTTATTTTACGTTTTTATTCTATATTGCTATGTTGTAATGTTACATAGATGCGGTTTATGAATTTTTATAAAATAAAGGTCACATTATCTTTATTTTGGTTAGAGCATAGATCTCAAAACATGTCATTTTTTTTTGTGTAGGTGTTCGTGCGAGACTTTGTACCGAGTGCATTGGCGTTTCTGATGAATGGAGAGCCAGATATAGTGAAAAACTTCTTGCTCAAGACACTTCAGCTTCAAGGTTGGGAGAAACGGGTTGACCGGTTCAAGCTCGGGGAAGGCGTTATGCCAGCGAGCTTCAAGGTGCTTCATGATCCAGTCCGTAAAACCGACACGATTGTTGCGGATTTCGGGGAAAGCGCTATAGGAAGAGTAGCACCGGTGGATTCAGGATTTTGGTGGATCATACTTCTCCGTGCTTACACGAAATCTACGGGAGATTTGACTCTTTCTGAGACACCAGAGTGTCAGAGGGGAATGAGGCTTATACTCTCGCTCTGCTTGTCCGAAGGGTTTGACACTTTCCCTACGCTGCTTTGTGCTGACGGTTGTTCTATGGTTGATAGGAGAATGGTAAGAACAACCTTCTAGTAAACGAGCAAAAATCATTTTAGATTTTTTCACACTAAAACCAAATCTTGATTTGTACTTTGTAGGGTGTTTATGGATATCCAATAGAGATTCAAGCTCTGTTTTTCATGGCGCTGAGATGCGCCTTATCGATGCTTAAACCTGACGAGGAAGGTAGAGAGTTCATAGAAAGGATTGTGAAGAGACTTCACGCGCTGAGTTTCCATATGCGCAGTTACTTTTGGCTCGACTTTCAGCAACTCAACGATATCTACAGGTTAGTAAGCGGCCTCAAAATGATCTTGAATATGGATAATATATGATTTGACGTGACAAAAATATTAAATTTTTTGTTAAGGTACAAGACGGAGGAGTACTCACACACGGCGGTGAACAAATTCAACGTAATGCCGGACTCGATACCAGATTGGGTTTTCGACTTCATGCCTCTTCGTGGAGGATACTTTGTCGGCAATGTAAGCCCGGCCCGTATGGATTTTAGGTGGTTTTCCTTAGGAAATTGTGTCTCTATCCTTTCTTCTCTAGCAACTCCGGATCAGTCAATGGCCATTATGGACCTCCTCGAGCACCGTTGGGAGGAGCTAGTTGGCGAGATGCCTCTCAAGATTTGTTACCCTTGCATTGAGAGCCACGAGTGGCGGATTGTAACCGGCTGTGATCCCAAGAACACTAGGTGGAGCTACCACAATGGCGGATCTTGGCCAGGTTAGCATTCTTTGTTATAAACTAAAGACATCATGTGAAACGCTTGGTCCTTCTCACTATCTTTATGTATGCAGTATTGTTGTGGACGCTGACAGCGGCATGCATCAAGACAGGCCGGCCTCAAATCGCGAGACGCGCGATTGATCTAATTGAATCTCGGCTACACCGAGATTGCTGGCCGGAATACTACGATGGTAAGCAAGGAAGATACGTTGGAAAACAGGCCAGGAAATACCAGACTTGGTCGATCGCGGGTTACTTGGTTGCGAAGATGATGCTTGAAGATCCTTCACATATCGGAATGATCTCTCTTGAAGAAGACAAACAGATGAAACCTGTTATCAAGAGATCTGCTTCATGGACTTGCTGAATTTTGTTTTCTTGCTTTCTTGTTTTGTATTATCTTGTCATCAAGATTAAGAGTTGCAAAAGACCTTTATTCAGCGAGAGAATAGTTCTGTTTGCACTTCTCTTTGATCCACCTATGATTTATTTTCACTCGAGGCATAACATAATCTCTTCCTAGATCAAAGAAAAAATCTTGAAAAATATAATCAAATTAGATTTGTGACTTTATTATTTAGTTTAGGAAAATATATTTAGATTGAGAAATTTTTGCCTTAAAATTGAAGCATCTGATATCAAACATCTTGAAACATCTGAAAAATTGTAATCTTTGTTTTGAAAGAAAAGTAACTTTCAGGTGAAGCCTATGTCTTAAAACATAATTAACTAAATAAAACCTAATGAAATCAAGCTAAATTTTATTAGGGAACTGAATAGAGTTAATATATAACTATGGAACTCAGAACTATCAATGCATATTAAATTTAAAGAGCTTATATACATGAGGAAAATTATCACAAAAAATTGGTTACCAATTGGAGCCTTAAAAGATAGGACTTGCATTGAGGAAAATTATCACAAAAAGAAAATGTTGAATTAGTTAGCAAGAACCTCAAACCCTGCCAGATTTTAAATGGGGTTTGCATTGGTATTTCTCATGACATAATATATGCTCTCATTATGCAAAATCATGATTCAAATATTTGTATGAAAGAACAACAAAACCAAAAATTCACAATAAATATAATATATAAAATTAAGTTGTCGTGGCTGCAAAATATTGTTAAAAAAAAAAAGCAACAACCTGCTCAACAATCTCTAGCTCTTGATCACCATTTTTTAGGAGAGTCACTAAGGATTTAGCAATGCCTTGAAAGGAAGGTAGACAAAACGTATACAAAAGAACTGCAAGGAGGGAATCTTAACAGAAGTTCTCATTTTTTTCGGTCTCGTCCAACCAATTATAGAATCTTATTGAAGCATTCTTATTAAAACAACTAGAAATCTTTTTTTAAAAAAACGATTTGAAAGAAGGTTAGAGACAAGCCCACTAGGAGACTAGAATAATAAGTAAACGAGTCTTAAAGACACATTCGGGAACACACAACAATAAACAACCTACTCAAATCCTAATTACCTGTTTCAAATGAACCAAAACCCACCTCGAGCAACAAGACATGTGGTCAAAAAGACGTGATTAAGAAGACATGTAAGAAATGGGTTGAATAATCATGTTTTGGTTGACAAAGCTCATCAGAACACATGTGGTAGCAAAAGCGTAAGCTAGGGAGTACGCCATCCAAAGACTTCCACCAATAAGACATTCTAGCCTAAATATACGAGAGTTAAAGTAATGCACAAATTGCAGCACAAACCACCAAAGCAGTTTCTTTATATTATAATATAGATATAAATTACTAGAGTGTCCTCATTTTTTTTTGTCAAGAACTAGAGTGTCCTCATAAATCACAATCAACTAGCTTAAAAAATATGCCTTTTTCATATACTATAAAAATTCAAAAATCATAATAATATGAATAAACCCCACATATACCAACTATATGAAATCACTGGTCTAAACTAAAGACATATGAAACTTTGAGCTTTGTTATCACTGGTCTAAAAAAGTAAGAAACGAACGGTAGTTTTTCTTTGGCATATGGATACCTCTATTGGTCTTTGTTTGTTCGATTAAAGAAAAAATGTATTTAAATGTGATTATATAATGAGTATTTGTTTTGTTTTGGAATGTGCAGTGGTATATTTCCAATAAACTATGGAATCTTGATGATGTTAATGTCCTCCGTAGGGATGTGACCGATTTGATGCAGAAATTACGTGGCGAAGATGCTCATATCATCCCTTGGGACACCCGTATGACATGGGTCGACAAATTCTATGACCAAGTAAGTTCACACACTCAAATCTCTCCTCGGTTGTTGAGCTTTCAGTTGTACTGATAAACATACTTTTGATTGGTTGATTCTAAACAGCTCGTAGAAGTTACATTAGGCGTTGATCTAGTAGAGGTCTTGGATCGACATTTTATACCGTCTAAGAAAATGCATGGGCCTTGTCAGAACAACTTTCACTGAGAAAGAGAGAGCGTGATGCGTGAGAAAGTTCAAACTCACGTAGTAAATAAACGAGTCTTAAAGACACATTCATTAGGAGACATAAAACGATAAACAACCTACCTCGGCCCTAACAAAGCAACAAGACAAGTGGTCAAGAAGACATGTGAGTCGTTGATTGAATAATCATGTATTGGTTGACAAAACTCATTAGAATGCATGTAGTGGCAAGAGCAAAAGCTAGGGAGTACGCCATCCAAATAGTTCCACCAATAAGACCTTCTAGCCTAAATATACGAGAGTTAAAGTAGTCTCTTTATATTATAATAAATTTTATAAATTATTAGAGTGTCCTCATAAATCACAATCAAGTTTAGCATTGTCCACCTTATCTTGTTAAAACCATGACGATTATCACATAAATGTCTTATCCGTTTTGTAAATGTAGCTTTTCGTTTCTTGTTTGGTATCCACATAAATTTACTATGAATATGACTAATATTAAGTGTGTACATACCATGTACAAAAGAATTAATTTAACTTAGTTGGTTGTTAGCCTTGTATGTGGTATATTGCATAAGTTAGTCAACAAGTTAATTAAAATTTTAAAATTGCGTACAAAACTAGAATTTTGTAAATAAATTTTGAGGCGATTACGCAATGACCAGTTAATCATGTGCCGAGAAGGAAAATTGTCGCATAAAAGGATTTGTCATTTTGGTTAGTGTTTATTTGGAAAAAAAAACGTTTGAAAAAGTGAGAAAGAAATATGATTTTTTGTTGATTAAACTGTGAGAGACACATCAGCAATCCGGGGTTAATTTTTTAATAACCAATCATATGGCAATAAGCCGTTATTTGACGCAATTGTGCATGTGTTAAGCAAATTGTGTTGTTGTAAAAAAAACAATCAAATTGTTGGCAAAGTAATTGTATCTTGTTAGGAACTTACATTTATATTCCTAAAGACTAAATACTATAAAAAAAAATTGAAAGTTTGTGAAAAAAATAAAAGATAATATATCTTAGGTCATGGTCATTGAACCTTTGTTGAACAAGGGCATTATGCACCTGAGATATATGCATGATGCATCATATTGGTTTTGTCGTTGTCTTGATCACTTAGCATTTGTTGGAGAGTTGATGTGGTATTGTTTGCAAAAGCACTGAATAAAATTACAGTCGCATAGTAGACTCTCTCCATTGGGGCTATTTATTTTTTGTATGAATGTTAAATTGTATTCATAATAATATCTGTTTTACAATAAATGCAACATTAAAACAAAAGAAATCAGGGCTATTTATTTAGTACAGTGAACCTTTTAAGCCTATTTAGATCAAAACTCTTAAAAGGCGATTTAGTTTGTGGAGTTTTATAGGATTTTTTTTTGTTTTTGTGTTTGTTTTGAATGATTTCTTTCTAATAATTTTAAACTAGATTTTAACCCGCGGTATACCGCGGAACGATTTAGTTTTAAAATTAGAAAATTTTAAATTGAATGGTTATATATTATATAGAAAAGTTTACAAATTGTATCATTTTATAAGATATTTATATTTTATAATTTACAATTGTTATTAAGTAATTGTATACTGTTTTATACAATTTTATTTTAATCAAGATCATTCAATATGTCTAATATTGGTTGTGTTAAAAAATAAGAAAATAAAGATTTAACCCGCATAGAAGCAGAGGGTTAATGATGTTTTGAATTTTTGGATTCAAACCCATCCTATCATATAACCATGTCCTGCAATATAACCGTCCCGTATTATTTTAACTCTTTATATATGTTCAAATGTTCTTAGTATTATAAAAAATTTATGATTTAAATTTATAAATTGTAATATTTAAAACTTCTTGAAAACTCGTCACGCCATATAATCCCGTCTCGCAATATATCCCGTCCCATGTTATTGTAACTCTTTATATATATTAAAATGTTCATAATATTATAAACTTTTTATTGATTTTAAATATATGAATTATTTTATATAAAACTTTTATTAAAAGTCTAAAATTAAATATTTCTGGTAAAATTAAGCAGTTAAACTAAAAACCGAACTAAACGGTATACAAACTTTTAAATTTGGAAGTTTGTTAAGTTAAGCTTCATGTTCATTCGGATTTGAATTTCATTTTGATCTTATTTATATAATGATTCTGAATCATTGCCTAAACATTTTAGCCAATATGAGACGTTGAATATATACATTTTTCATCAATTGGGTAATATATATCCGTTTGAAAATTTTGAATCACAATATATGCAGAAAAAAATAATTGAGATTTTTTTAACTTTATATATTATATGATGATTCAAAATTGTTAAAAAAAGTTCAAACAAAGATGATAGGAGAATCGTGATTTTAAATCGTAACCAGATCTTCTAAATATATATATTCTTAAACATGAAATATCCGGTTCACAATTTCGGATACATTTTGATCCGATCAAAAAAATATAGAATATCTGGTATAAGATTATGAAGTAAACTCTATATCGGGTCGGGTACCAAAAATCTCGGATAAATTTTTAATCCACTTGGTACGTACAAAATGTACTTCAAAAATACTAATAGAGATATTACTGTTATATTATTTCAGAAAATAATAAATACAAATTTATCTATGCATTATATCACAATAATTTGCAGACCACATTATACATATCTTAGAACATTCTCGCATGCAAGATGTCTTTGTCTTTCTTTCTCCCCCTTTTCTCTAGCTACAAGTCTCATATATTAGCTTTGAAGATGGTTTGGAACAGTAGAACGAGATCTTTCAAATGCATATCATTTCAAAAAAATAACTTTGTTTTAATATTTATTTACAAGATTTCCTATTAGAAAATAGTTACCAACATATTCAATTAAGAAAGAAATCAAGAATACAATAGTTTTCCGACCAAAAAAAAAAAAAAGAATACAATAGTTTTTCTAAACGAGAAATTAAGAATCTTTGTCATTTTTTCTTCCATTTTATCCTCTCTTTTCAAATTAGATTTCCAAAAGATTTTGCTCAATCTTTGTAACTAAAACGTTATATTTTTAATATATTAATTAAATAAAACGAAAATGTCATTTTTAGTATTATTTATTTTTTGGTAAATAATATCATTGACATTTCCAATTTAATATTAGTTGTAAAAGTATATAATTTAAATTAAATAATGTCTACTAGAAAAACGGAAACCATCATATTTACTTTAGTCCTTTATATTATAAAGCACAAATCACTTGACCAATAAAAATATGCCATGTAGAATTTTTTTATAATTCAAAGAATTATTTAAATTTTTCAAAAAACTAAATGCCCATTTTCTTTTTTTCTACATATTTAAAAACAAAAAAAATATCCCTAGATTTTCTCACACACAACACCACTATCTTTGGAAATTTGGAACCAACTCAAGATTTTCCAAACCGTTTTATCTTCTTCTACAAAAATCCAATTCACGTTATCTTTTTTCCATCACCTTTTTTTCTTTTTATCTTTCCCAGATCCATCGATTTGAAATGGTATTCGATCCAAGTTTATTGTCTTCTATTTTTTATTAGATTAATTTCTCTTTATTCCAGATTCATTGTCTGTTTTTTTTGGGAAGAGCACGATGTGAGTTTCATTGGCCTCCCTTTTAAACATATATAGAAATCTGTAACAAAAATCATTGCTAAAACTCTGTGACATGTACAGCGATCAAAGAATCTGAACTGCACTCATCTATGACTGAAAGCTTCTGATCAAGCCATGAGATTAAGGTATCCCAAACACGTATCTTCTCTGTGTTTATCAATCTTGCTTTAAGTTCTAGTTCTGCATATATCAAAGAAACCATACAAGTGTTCGTAAAATCCATTTGAAGATTCAAAAACTTCTCTCCAATATCATGTAGTTATAGAAGCTACGGTCTCTAAGCGCACTAGAGAAAGCTACACAATCCATGTCAGTTCCATCTACACATATAAGGTAATAATAATATTTCCATGTATCTTTAATATTTGTTTACAGTTTAATAATAGCTCTATATTTTTTTCTATATTTTTCATTATAAAACTCATCTCAAGCTCTCCTTAGGAGAGTAGGGGTAAGAATTGAATGATTCAAGTCTGTAAGAATTAAATGATTCAAGTCTGTTACGAACATTCCAAATCGTTAGTTTTTATTATGGGAAAATTAGAAAAGGATGTTATAGATCAAAAATGTCCATCTAAGTTATTATTTAACATCCGGAAATTATTCCCTAATCTATGGTATAATTATAAAAAAAATTTACCAGCTTTTCCTTAATTCTATAATTCTTTTTTTACTAAATATTAGGAAAAATGAATATGCCCCTAGGGTTAACAAAACAGACGTGATGAAGAGAGGAAGCGAAAATAACAACCACGAGACCAAACCATCGCCAACACTACGTTTTCGCTGCCGTGAAATCTCCACCGGGGAAAATTCCGGCGATATCACTATTCCTACGGATCTACCGTTTACGAAACCTATATGTGAAAAAAGGACAGGAACAATTGGTGGTCTTGGTGTACGGAAGCTTAACACTAAGGTAATTCTCGTGTTGTTTTTCTTTTGTTTTGTCTTAGATTAAAATACATAATCTTCTATCTAACTTGATTACTAGGTAGGTTGAGGAATCGTATGAAGCAAGAAAGAAGTTTTCAAATGCCAAGTCCATATCCTCTGCTCAGTTTTTCGGGGATCAGAATAAATCTTCTGATCTTGAATCAGAATGTACATTTGAGAAGTTATCGGTAAGTAGAATTAGATTTGCTAGCATGATTTTAAACACTTGTTGCAGTAAGAAAATTGATGAATGTTTGATTTTATATTTTCATAAGTGAAGAATGATTTCTCATCGTTAGTGGGCAAAACGAAGGAGAGACTCGGAACTTTGGGCTCTGTTATCACTGGTCTAAAAAAGTAAGAAACGAGCGTTCTTGTTGGATACCTCTATTGGTCTTTGTTTGTTCGCTTAAAGAAAAAGGGAATTTAAATTGGATTATGTAATGAGTATTTGTTTTGTTTTGGAATGTGCAGGGCTATATTCCCAAGGAAACCAGGTAATCCTGACGATATTAAAGCCCTCCGCAGGGATGTGACAGATTTGATGCAGAAATTACGTAGCGAAGATGCTCATGCCATCCCTTGGGACACCCGTATGAAATGGGTCGAAAAAGTCTGTGACCAAGTAAGTTCACACACTTGAATCTCTCCTAGGTTGTTGAGCTTTCAGTTGTACTGATAAACGTACTTTTGATTGGTTGATTCTTACAGCTCGTAGAAGTTACATTAGGCGTTGATCTAGCAGGAAGTCTTGGACCGACAGTTTATACGCTCCGAGAAGATGCATGGGACTTATCGGAACAACTTATCATTGAGAGAGATATAGAGCGCACGAGGCAAGACAAAGAGAGTTTAAACTCGTGTAGTGAATAAACCGAATCAAAACGTTACTAAGAATGCTTAACAACTTCTAGTGTAATTTTCTTTTTTTCTTTTGTTTGCGTCAAAATTTTCACTTTAGTTCATATTCGGTATTGTGAACATGAATGAGAACTAATTAGCATCTGCAAAGTTTCTGCAACAAGATATCAAAAGTATCGCAAATTTTAGTTTTATAATTTTAAACAAGTTTAGCATAACTACCACATGTTTTGTTCGAAAAAAGAGAAAAGCATACCTTTTAGTAAGTTCTTCCCCATGTTAAGGTCCCGGCGATTGAATCTGCAAATATAGTGACAACAAAACTAGCAATATAGTGACAACATAAACTGCCCCAAGATAGAACCACTCCGATATAAAAAATCATTAAACATTTCTGAGTCTTAAGAAGTTAAAATGTGCAGACTCTGTCCATTTAGGCTGTCTACTTAGTACAATGAACCTTTTAAGCGTATTTAGATCAAAACTCTTTAAAGCCTGTTTAGTTTGTGGAGTTTGATAGGATTGTTTCGTTTAACCCCGTCATAGTGGATTTTGGTTTTGGTTTTAATGATTTCTTTCTAATGATTTAAAATATTACTTTTTATATTATTTAAGAAAATAATAAATACAAATTTATGTATGCATTGTATCACGATATCGCAGACCACATTAAATAGAATTTATGTTGGAACATTCTCGCCCTTTCCTCTAGCTACAAGTCTGAAAGATGGTAAATAATATCATTGACAATTCAAATTTAATATTAGTTGTAAAATTATATATTTAATTTAATGTCATGCTAAGAAGATACAAAAATATTTCCTAAGCTATTTTACAATCTTAACCAAAATAAATTCATTCAACACTCTCTTGACCATAACTTTATTCAACTCTCTCTTAATCACTCATTATTTTATTATAATATCAAAGATATTATTTCCCCTTTCAATTATACTTTGATGAGAATTATTATCATCAACAATTTATATATATATTTTTGAAGTACAAATATGAAATAAATTATGGAATTGCCACTTATTTACAAGATAATACCATTGTCATAAATGTTTATCTATTAATTAATATTACAAAATATTTTCGAAAAAATCTTAACACATTTAAGTAACAAATACAACAACTCAAAAATAATATTTATATATTTCAACTATATTAATTATAATATAAAATAAACAAATGAGAAATAATTTTTTAAAATTATGAATTTCAAAATCCAATAAATTATAAATTATTATATAATATACATAAAATACAATTTTGTTCCGCAGTGTACCGCGGGTTAAATCCTAGTTTTCAACATAATCAGATCAAATCCTCTTGCAATGCCTCTACAAAGTTATCCACGTAACCGGTCAATAGTCCAGGACTAACCAAAATCTCCTTCAATTTGGCGTGGTTACTCCTCACTAGCTTCCCAAGGTCACTGTCTTTATCCATCACAGACTTAATCGCATTGCTCAAACTCTCCTTTGAAAACCATCCTGTCTTTTCCCTATACACTTCTACAGAGACCTCGAATTCCTCGGTCATCAATCTTGTAAAGAGAACTTGATCACTTAAAAATGGAATCAAAACCATTTGGCAATCACTCACCAAAGCCTCCCATATTGTTCCAGGACCACAATGGTTCACAAAGCAACCTACTGATGGATGAGCCAATATCAAAGGTTGTTGTACCCATCCTCCCCAAACCACACCGCGCCCTTTCACCCGCTCCTCGAACCCTTCTGGTAACCCTTCTTGGACCGTTGTTGATCCTCTTGGTGGCTTAACCGCTACAAGAAACGGTAAACCTGTCAGCTCCATCCCTAAACAGAGTTCTTGGAATTGATCTTTTTCAAGAATGATTTGGCTGCCAAATGAACAAAACACTACTGACTTGGGCGTGAACCCGCTTAGAAAATGACTCCAGTGTTCTTCTAGTGGTTTAGTCGTGTCTGGCTCAGGGAACATTGGACCAGTCAAGAGAACCTTCTTATGGTACTGACGCGATAGAAAGTCGCAGAACTTCCCTTCGATTTCTTTGCAGGTCCTCATTGCAATGACATCACAGTTCTTAAGACCTGTAGTGATCTGATGATAAAGTCTCTTGTAAAAGATCGACAAGGTTGCTAAGGCATGAGCATCGTTTCCACGGAAAAACACCTTCGATGAAGGATAACCCGGTGGGGGAACACCTAATTCACCACCAGGGACATGTGTATGAGCTATAGTTGTAGCAGATACTATGATGTAACTCACACTCTTGATCATATGTTCTTTAGCCATTTCTGGTACCCATTGAGCAAAATCGAAGAAGATCAAGTCCGGTCTCAAAGCACGAACCGCAGCTTCAACCTGATCGCGAGTGAGATCCAAGGCTTCGGACAAGAAGTTGTCCATTGAGATTGGGATATCCGAGGTTGTCTCGGCACCAGCAGGGAGGCCATTGACAGGAGGAATTGTGAGAGGGTGAAAGACAATACTGTCTGGGAACAAGTTGTGATGTTCCAACTGTTTTTGAGATTTCTTAGGTAGCAAGAAAGTAACCCGGTGACCTTTCTCAGCTAGTTTGTTTGCAAGATGTAGAAAGGGAATCATATGACCAAAAGCAAACCATGGGAACATAAAAGCATGAAATTTTTTCCCCATTTCCTTTCTCAAATTGTAAAAACCCAAAATAAAACAAGTATTTCAAGAACTCAAAAAAGAAGTATCTGCTTTTGTTTCTTTGTTTTTCTTCGTCTCTTGTTCTGATTGTTGTGCACTGAAAACACCCTCATATGAGCTCGGAGACAGGTTAGATGAATTGAGATATTTAGTGAGAAGTTAGTGGATTAGAGAAGCACATGTGTCCCAAGAAAAAAAGAGATAATTAAGAACACTACAAAAAACAAGTCACGAGAGAAGAGAGCCAATAATTCACTACAAAAAACACATGTGTCCCATGAAAAAAAGAGATAATTAAGAAAACACTACCAAAAAAACAAGTCACGAGAGAAGAACCCAAGAAAAAACAATTTACTGAAGAGGCCAAGAAAAAAAAGAGGTAATTAAGAAGAACAATACAAAAACATGTCACAAGAGAAGTTAACGAAGACGAATCAGTACAAAAATCAAGTCACAAAGGAGCCAAGAATAATTAACTATATAAGTTTTCTTTTGCTCTTATTGGTTTCATAAGAAGCGTTACTTCTTTGGTTTTTTTTTTTCCTTGGTCCCTTTGCTTTGATTCTTCTCCACTGAAAAGAGCCAATAACACAATTGATTCAATTCTCCACTGATCTCCAGAGTCTTCTGCAAATTTTAGAAATAATGTTCATTGGAATCAAATAGTTGATCACACAGTTATTACTGATATAACAAATAGCATAAAAACAACATGAGAAGAGATTAATATAATTTTCATAAGAAGTAACAACGAAAGCAAGAATCGTCTCTAATGAAACTTCTTCCCGTGAGACCACATCCACATTATCTCAAAATCTCCTCCACAAAATTTCATTTGAATGCTGCCACTAAGAGAAACCTTAAAATTTGTTTTTCCAAATAGATATAACCCAAAGAAGACCATTAAAACAATTATAGCTCGAATCTTTTCTTTTCTTAAAAGGAAGAGTATTCATTCAGATGGAAGCTCATAGAAAAAAAAAGGGGTTATTTAAATATATACATAGAAGACAAAAATATTAAAAGTCTACACATACAAATAAGATAATTAGTTCTTTTTTTTTAATGCAAAATTGATATGACAGAACTACCCCTACAAGACAATAAAATCGATATGACAAAAAAATAATTCATATCATGCATCAGGATAGTTAACAGATAACTTATTATCGGGGTAATATTGTTAGCGAAACAGTGATGGAGGTTTGATAGATGGATGAAAAGACTTAAGTAAGAACCTACTTAACATGTTAATAATACACCTAATGAGATAAACATATTTTCAGTTATCGAACCAACGATTAGATTTCAAAGATTGGATTATATATGCGAAGACAGTAACATTATTATTAATAAGGTAACAAAATATTTAGCGTGATGAGCAAAAATGTTGACTTGCGGCTGAGTCATATATAGGGAATAATACATGCATTGGGAGAGTTAGCAGATAAGGTGTTATCAGGGTAATATCGTTAGCGAAACACGGCTAGCGGTTTGATAGATGGATAAAAAGACTAAAGTAATACACTTAATGAGATGAACAAATTTTCGGTTAACGAACTGATTGCTCGAGTAATTACCCGATACACCGCAAGGTAGTATATACGGGGTCGATCCACAAGAACCAATGGTACACTAAAGATTTCCGAGACTCGTTCTTAGCTAAAGCGGAAAGGTTGTTTTGTTTGGGTTTTCAGTTTGTAAAATAAAAATGCAAATAAATTAAACGATTTAACTTCAAGATTTAAAGACATTAGGCATTAGGGTATTTCAGAGATCAACGAATAATGGAAACATGAAACCAGGAATTCAATAATTAAGAACCGTTCTCGAACATGAACACATTTAAACCAATTCTCTTTCAAGACATTAATCACTAAATTTGACTATTCGATTACTAAACTTTCGCATGCAATTTCCTAGTCAAATTCGCATTACCAAACAAGTTCATTAAGTTCACAATGCGTTCTAATGTCAACTTTCGTTGGCTAGAAATACATTGCTCAATCCACATTCTTTCAGGCATTCTATCGAACACTTTTGATGCATAGAAAAACCTAGAATCTACAACAGGGTGATCAATCCTATTCTAGCATTAAGAACATGTGAATCAAAGAACCTAGAGAATGAGAATTCCTAATACAATCAATCCATTAATCCATTGAATCTCCTAATTGGAACCCTAAAACCCAATTTGAGAACTACTCACACATATTGCAAAGAATAACACAAATAGATAAAGAAGAAAACATAGTTCAATTGAATAAAATGAGATAAAGGTTTAGAAAATCTTCTCCAAATTGTCAAGATGGATGAATCTCTAATCCTCAAGTGTGCTTACAAAGAGAAGTCTCAGAAAAATTGCAGAAAAACAACGTGTATAGAAAAATTAGGTTCCAGGGGTTTTTATACCCAAATACAGAAAAAGACAGATAAAACCGGTTAAGGAAAACCGGACTGAGTCGTCAAGAGGGTGGATCGATCGATCCCGTACTGGCGGATGTTTTTGCTTCGACGATGAGAGTTGGATCGATCGATCCCCTTCTGGGATTGATCGATCCCGAAGCTCCTGGAGTCAAGCTCTGCACCTGCTTCAAATGCTCGCCAGATTGACCTGTCTTCACTAATTTTGGTATAACTCTTGAATGCACCGTTAGATTTCCTTCAAACCACTTGGAAAATCAAGCTAACATCTTCGTCTAGCTTGTGGCAAAAATTCAGAGAGATCTAACGGTGTCAAGTATTCAATATGATACCAAACGTCTGACACTTCTAAACGAAACTGCATCTCTAAAAGTGTGTTTATAACCCAAAACAGCTCGTTTTCCTCCAAAGCAACCTAAAACCTGTAAAGACTCGATAAAAGACTAAAAGACTCTAAAAACACACTTTGACTCTATAAAACAGATGATGTAGGAAAGAAAACAAAGACTCAAAACCGATAAAAACACAACATATCACGAACCAACAATTAGGTTTCACGACTTGGATTAGATATGGGAAGATATGTTAACAATATAAATACAATTATCAATTTATGAGTCCTCTAAGATTGTTCCTTTGTTCATGTTAAACAGGTTTGATTATCAAGAATAAAAATTTAAATCAATTTAAGTAATAACTATATATATATATATATATATATATATATATATATATATATATATGATAATTATTAGCATTCTAGTATTTTTATTTGACATGTCTTAAAGGTTTCCAAAGTATTTTTTATAGTTTTTACTTTTTAGAAGATCGAAGAGTCTTTACAGGTGTTTTAAAGAAAAAGCTAGGCAATAAAAGGAGCAATATGGCTTACAAGGACAGCTTCGTACTGTAAGAAGTTTGGCATATGTTGAAAGTCCTCCCGTGCCCTAAATCTAACTTTCTTGGTGTCATTTGAAAGCTAGATGAACCATCTATCACCTTGAAGAAGAATCAGACAAAACCGCGAAACCATCGATGGACACATCCATGTCACCACCGCGCTTGAAGAGAACCATGCCACGGGCAAATTCTTCTTTACCGTTTCCTTCAACATTTTTGATGCGGCCAAGCTCTCTTCCACTATGCCACCAAGCCCGTAGGTGCGGCCAAACCCTTTCGAGTTAACTTGTGAGAAAATGACGGGGTTTGACGATAGATCCATAAATCTAAAATCGACTCCTCGAAGACTATATATACTTATTCTTAACAATATTATCAAAGAGAGCGAGATAAAAACGAATAACAGACCTATGTTCCTCCCAAGTGCCCTCCGACTCGCCTCCACACTTTTGCTTTATCTTTTGCTTTCAAGGGAAGATCTTTTTACTCGATATCGAGAAGTAATCTATGAACCCTCTTCTTTATTTTTATACGTATTTTGACTTATGACTATGCAATTCTCTTCTATTGCTTTAATGTTTTCTTTGCTGTGATTGAGTAGTTTATTAGTTGGGTTTAAGGGTGATTTAAGGATCATGATCGATTAATTAAAGTGGCGAGTTTAGGGTAGCTTTTTCAAGAATTCACTGTTCTATACTTGATTTAAATGTATGTGGGTAGTTTCATGCACTATTTGCTGATCTCAACGCTTCACTTTGTTGATTTACTTTCATGTTTACTTGCTTGCTTCTGTGACGAAACCTAAACCAATCTTTTATTTTTGTCATAGCAAAATTATTTTCTGATGGATTCGTAACGTATTATCTATCTTTCTATGGGATCAATCCTTAAATACACGTAAGATTAGTTGAGGACTTGCAACTTTTCGTGCGGTTTCTAAGGTACAACCTTGAGGTGAAAAATCACACACATCATTATTCAACAAAATTCTCAAGCCGATACGGTCTTAGCATACATTTGACAATCATACTTGTGGGACTCTTGCAAAGTCTTCTCTCTCAAGACTTTAAGAAAATCACAAGAAAATTTTGTTGCATGGCTGCTAAATGTTGGAGATGGAAATGCACCCACAAGTGAAGAAAAATATGCCAACAAAGATGATGTTCAGATGGTGGTCGTTGATCCTAAATTCATAATGCAATCAATTGGACATCATTTGCAATTTTGCATGTTATATTTCAAGCCACAAATGGAGAGAACAATTTATCAAAAACAACCTATACAAGCATTACAAGGAGCGAGCGATCCTAACTCCATGAAATGAAACAATTGATGAGATAAATGTATACATGTTAGCACAACTGCCATTAACATGAAAGGAATATCTCTGCTAAGACACTATACGTGGAATGGAATATATTATCTATATAAAGTTGTGGTCTATATCTATGGACTCTCATTCTATATAAATTCACTAAACGCAAACCTCGAGAGGTGATGCCGTATGACAGATCATCAAACCTTTGATGAGCTCATTTTTCTAGAATTTTCAAGGACTAGGACGGTCTCATGAGTTGACAATTCACCATCTAAAAGAGATGCGTAAAAAACCACTTTTTTATGGTTTTTATTTTAATGGAGACAAAAAATAATAGGAATGTGATCGTGGATTTGCAGGAGTGGTTGAGTTACGAACTTATGATGGTATATATTTTTGGAGCCTCGTGGTTTGAGTGGTGAAGAAATATGTTCAGACTGAGTACTAGTCTTTGTAAATAATTTTTTTTTGCTTTTGAGATGCAATTTGGTATGTTCAAAACAAAACAAAAATTGTATACAATCAAACTAATTACGCATTGCATTCACCAATGGATGATTGTATTCACCAAATCATTTATTATGCATATCAATTAATTATCGAAACCAAATACATATTTCTAAGACGCATACACACATTTTCCGAAACTAGGATCGGTAGCAGCAAATGTGCCGGTATTTTTGAAACTACATGCCTGATTGGTACGACCATGGTTCTGATAATAAGAGTTCATCACAAACGATGCATGATTTACAAGAGTGTTAGGGATAAAACAGGATCCACCGGGTCGGATTGGCCTACAATCAACTCCTTGACTACATCCAAAATTAATATTTGCTTGTAGTTGCGCATTCGTTGCGGTGAGAGTTGCTACACACCATGTTTTTGAACTGGCCACATGGAAGTGGTTGATCATGATGGAAGATAGGATGATGAAAAGGAGTGCCAAAGGTGATGATATTTTGGCCATTTTAAAATTGATATTCAACTAATTTAGTTTTTGGATATCTATGTGAGTGTATATGTGTCTTTATATATATAATAATACATATCTATACTATATCAAAATATGAGGATATATTTCTATTTTTGTAGACATACCAATTATTAATTCTAGTCGAAGATTTGAATATTGAATAAATAATTTGAAATGATATGCTTATAAGAAAATTTAGTCACTAGATAGAAGAAAGTACGAGAATAAAAATATTAGGAAAATAGAAACATATCTTTATAATTAGAAATGATATGTTTATAAAAACTGTATGACTAGCTAGATAATAGACAATCAAAGATTTTAAAATCTTCGTAAAATAGAAGTATGCTTTATTATTAGAAATATATCTTTATAATTAGTATTCTATCTTTATAATTTGAAATTATTTGTCTATAAAATAAGAAATAAATCTTTATAATTAGAAATGATATGTCTATAATAAAGTAGTAGTAGAAAAACAAATATTTACGCATAATAAGGAGAAGAGAAATATATCTTTATAATTTGAAAATACATGCCTATAAAAACGTGTAATAACTAGATAGTAAAAACTATAAGATTTAAAAATATTTACGAAACTAGAAATATATATTTATCTATCCCGTGTTTATTATTGAAATATATATATTACTAGATAGTATATGTGTCTTTATATACATA